AGATGAAACTTCTTTGTAAACTTTCTTCATTTAATTCCAAGTTTTATTTCTACTCTATCTCTAAGTTCAGCCGCAGGTTCAGTTATGGACAGGAAGTAAATAATAAATGTAGAATTCAGTGGAACCGTCTCCAACTTTCAGCTCAGTTTAATAAAGACGCAGAAAAAAAAAAGTTCCAGGTGAAGTCAGGTGACCTGGTGTTTTTAAGCTCGTGGTGGGAAGACGCTCGTCTTCGGACGCGTTCACGGTCAAATCGCGCGTCGTAGCTTCTCGTGTTCTCTCGCGTGTGAATGGATGAAAGTCACATGTAAGTTTTATCTTTCACGAAGTGTCTCGTTGATAGAAGTTTAACCAGACGGATGCTGATGAACTCTCCTCCATTAGTTAATCTCAAATATATCCCTGCTAAGAGTTAGCTAACAGCTAACTGACCGTTGAAACTCCCGAGGCCGGATCACGCTAAGCTAACAGCCGGCTAGCTTGAGGTGGAAATGAAGGCTAAATGAGCTAATGACCTGCTAGCTTCAGTCTACACCGTCCTCATTGGGTAAGATAGTTCCTACACACACACACACACACACACATTAGTTGCCAATAATGGCTTCACTAGCTTATTACCCTGACTTTAATCATTATAACTAAGTTATTAGCTCTTAACTTGAACCTAACCCTAGTCTAACCCTCTCCAGGTGGGTTTAGATGTGGGTTTGTAGAGGTGAAGGTTTTTTCTATGGTAACTAACAGGACACTAACATGCAGCTGATGTAATGTGAAGTGGTCTGAGCTGTAATACTTGTTTGGATGTAAGGGGACTGTTGGGCCTCTCCTTGTTGTTAAGGGTTTAATCTACATGCATGATACAGTCTTTGTCAATGTGTGCTGCAGTGCTGGTGGTGAAAAGGATGTGGTGCAACAATTAAACAAAGGACATATATACAATAGGAATGTTGATGTGTTTGAATAACAGATCTTTGGTTTGAAGCTTGACTCTTAAATCCATGTTTGAATACACGTCTCACAACATTTGCTCTGCTCATGTCAGGGGCAGCTCCAGTCACAACAGTAAATACACAGACGCTCTGTGTATTTCCTTTTTTTCTCAGGAGGCGAGTTCGTCTCTAATTCAAACCACACCACGCAGCGCTCCCCTCTCGTGGCGACCCCTCCTGAGTATCACAAAACATTCATCAGTCGTGACTCCGTGACCTCCCTGCATCCCCGGCCCCCCGGCCAATCAGAATCAAACCAGACAGCGTCTCTCTGTCTGTAACTTTTGTACACGTACATAAAAGCCTCCTTTGCCTTCAAGAGTGCTCGCACCCCCCAAAGCCACACACCTCCTTTAAAAAACCAACATGGGCACTGCCCTGTTCACTAATGACCCCTCTCTGCTAACCCCCCTCTTCCACCCCACATCCCCCTGTTGCAACACTCCACATCCAGGTGATAAATGAGGCTGCCCCAGTGTGTGGTATCAGGTCAAAGGTCCACCTAACAGTTCTTGTTGGGATTTGAGGGCAAATGGAAGTCACTGGGACGTGGGTTACAAGTCTGGTTAAACTGCTGCCTCACTATGATACCTCTGTGCCAGTGTCTTCCAGGAGAGGGAGACAGAGACTCATTTACTGCTCGCTCCTTCCTAAACAATGGAGGTGGTTTTTAGACAGTAAACTAAATATTATGATGTACTTATATATAAGTATATATGCTTTTATATTTTAATATTCTCAGTATCATTCATGTTTGCTCTGGTTTGACTTCATGTAGTCAACACATAGTATATTTAATAATAACTTATTTCGCTGCATTGTCTTTTCTTTTTATTATTGTGTTCATTCTATTTTTTACTCCAGGGTCTCCAAAGTCCTTTATCCTCATTCCTCTTCAGGGAGCTAGTGTGTGTGTGTGAGTGAGTTTTTATGTTGGTGTGTGCTGGACACACACAAAATGTTTTGAAGTAACACTTGATTTGTTGATTGAGGGAAAATAAAAGAGTGACTATTTTGATTATTATTTAA